CCCATATAGTAGATACTTAGGCCTGAAAGGGGTTCCTATATGGGCGCTTTAAGGCCTAAGCACATGTAGCTTTTGGGTTTAATCATAAAAGGGATCCTACTGTAATTCAAGGTATGTTCCTTAAAAGTAAGGGGTGCTGGAAGGTCTGGGAAGTGCATGTGGACGCAGTTTAGTACTGCGGTTGGGTCTGGAGTCTGCAGGTAAAAATGTCGAATTCATGGCTCCGGGTTTAGGGTGTAAAAGTTTATGGATTTAGGATTTAGGGCTTATGGTTTAGGGGTTCGGGGTTTAGGGATTAGGGTATAGAGTTTATGTCACGATTTCGTGTTTAGGCCTGGCTGGGAGATTCCTCAGCCGTAACTTGCAGCAGAATCTTTCTGCATACGGCAACGTCTATGTTCACACATGCATTGCACACGCATACACGTGTTCTATGTCTGTATGTTTATTTTTGGTGTATCCATCCGTCCATCCTTCACTACATACCCTAAACCCTAAACCCTAAACCCTAAATCCATAAACCCATAACCCTACAGCTAAACCCTAAAATCATACAAGGGAGCCGAAGCTGGAGGTTTAAGAAGGGTTCTTTGGCGGCTGCTTTTGGGCGGGTTTCTGGTTTAGGATTTAGGGTTTAGGGTTTGGGGTTTAGGGTTTGGGGTTTTCGGGTTTGGGGGTTTAGGGTTTAGGGTTTTGGGGGTTTGGGGTGTTCGGTTTGGGGAGAGCAGGGGTGGCGGCTTCAAACAGAACGGACCCTTGTCGGGATTCGGATGAACAGGTTCAGTGTTTCAGTTTAGGGTTTTAGGGTGTAAGGTTTAGGGCCGGTTTTAGGGTTTAGGGTTTTGGGTTTAGGGTTTTAGGGTTTTGGGTATAGGGGTTTAGGGCTTAGGGCTTTGAGTTTAGGGGTTTAGGGTTTAGGGGTTGGGGCTCAGGCCTCTATACTCTGAACGCTACAAGAACTCCAAAATCCCAAGCATCAAGCCTTCTTGTTCATTAAGGAGCAGCTTCTGTACCATGGAAGCAAACTTTGTGGCAATGAGCGTAGTTCATACTGATTCAAAGCCTGCCTGGTCAAACCTCCATCGCTATAAAGACCTTCCCGCCCCTATAAGAGAACTAGAGAAGCATGCTCGGTGCCCCACTCGGATGAGTTCGAGCTCCTCCAAGCGTTTCCCAGCGCGCCGTCCAACTGGCAGAACTGTTCATTGGAGTTTGCAGTAGGGCTGAGGGGTTTAAAAAAGGATCAAGGTTTCTGGGTTAAGTCGGTTTAATTAATGTTTGGGGTTTAAGTCAACCCAAAACCCTAAACCCTAAACTAAACCCTAAACCCTAAACCCAGAACCCTGAGTTTACGGCTCGAAGCTCTTAAGGATGTATAGGGCATTGAGGTCTACCTGGCCGCTATTCGGCCTGGTCCTGTTTACTCGTGCCCCCTTTACAGCGCTAGAAGACTCACCTTAGGGTTTAGGTTTCAGGCTTCAGGGTTAAGGGTTTAGGGTTTAGGGCTGAGGGTTCTGGGCAATCACCCCGGATATTCCCAAAGTGGAATATACATCATATCAGATTAGGTTTCCGATAATGTTTATGAGGGATAATTATGGGGTTGTGGAGTCTCTGGGCACAAAAGTAGGGATACCAGCTTGGGCTAACGTATGTGCTGCATATACCTGGATTCCAAGGTTCAGGAGTGCACCTCTTTGAGTCTCCATTGTAGTTCCTCTTTCTGGCTTAACCAGTTTTATATCAAAAAGGTCCTGTAAGGTAGCCCAAAACAGCAACTACAATGGAGACTATGGGTAGGTTTTGGAGTTCAAGTTTTTGGGTGTAGCAAACCCTAAACCCGAAGCCCCTGAACACATTTGGGGGAAACCCTAAACCTTAAACCCCAAACCCCAAAACCCACTTGGAGGACCGCAGAAAGCCGGGACACAACCGACAGTTTGCATACACCGTGTTTACGGTTTAGGGCTTAGGGGCTCAAGCATAGCCAGGGTCGTAAATGGCTGCGCCGGGTCCTCTAACCTAAGAACCGACAAACGACTCGGCCAGAAAATTCGCCCCTCGATCCCAGCGCCTCTTCTTTGAAGTACTCCAGCTGCTGAACCCAACCGTCTTCGATCTCTCCAGAGGGAACTCCAGCCTAGTCTCTCGGAGTCTCTTACACATGCCTACAGGCTTTTGGTTTCCGGTCAAAGTGTGTTAGAGTTGGAGCTGATCCAACCCTAAGCTCTAAACCCTAAACCCGAGCTAAACTACAGAGACGCAACAATTGGGGCGAGGGCTCTCGGAGTGCATGGCAACTTTGGGGAAGTTCAAGCTTTTCTACTTGTGGCTGGGAGCGTAATGTAGGGGCCTTAATAAATAATTCGAATTGGGTGATGGGAATATGATACTTTAGTTATAATAAGGAACCCCCCAAATAGCATAGGTAAGTATTAAGGACCTATATGTCGGGGCCTTTGCAGCTGTAGGGGAATCTTCTAGCAGTCTTGGGAGTGTCAGTATTTTGTATTGCATTGCTCTGCATTATGAAGTCTAAGGGGGTTTAGGGTATGTATTGCTCGGTAGGGTCTATAGAGGTACAGGTAGGGTCTATAGCGGTAAAGGTCTTCAGAATGGGTGGATGCAGTCTAAATATTATGTGAACACAAAAGCTGCACTGGGACGATACGACCTGCACCTCAACTAACCCCAAAAGTCTAAACCCTATACCCTAAACCCTCAACCATGTTTGAGGGTGTCTTTAGGCGAAGTAGTGGGGGTATGGCCCCCGTCCCTGGCCGTGCGCGACAGCATTAACACCAAACCCTAAACCCTCACCCTAAGGGTACAAGTACCGAACTCTCCCAAATACTTAGAGAACTACTACCCACTACCAAAGTGCATTATTATTGGGTCCTTTGTGCACGTTAAAGTCACCCCTAAACCCTGAACCCTAAACTTCAAAGCCAGCACTACCCTGTTCTGAGACACCAAAGAGACCCCAGGACTCTCCCTAAAAGAGTCCGGAACCTCCGAAAAAGATACCTGGACCCGTAGGGTCAGTTAGGCATGTGATTCTGATTCAAGGTAGGCTGGTTTCATTCAAGGGTCTTGGGCTCTGTGAGTTTGCCGTCGAAGCAGGCTTGGGGTTCAGGATTTTAAGGCATTAGGGCATTAGGCTTCAGGATTTAGGGTTTCGGGTGCTTTACCCTATAAACCCTCACCTCTGAACCCTGCACCCTAAACCCCAAACTGTGAAACCCATGAACCATCAACCCTAGACCCGTAAACCCTGAACTTAGAGCCTAGACCCCTATAATTTTAAACCCAAAGCCCCAATACGCCAGACTTAGGACCTAAACCCCAACCCCCCTCAACCCCTAAACCCCTAAACCCCTAAACCTTCAACCCCTAAACCCAAAAACCTAAAACCCAATAACCCATCTTTTCGCCGGGCCCCCTGGCGATCCACTGACGTTGGAAGCCTGCTCGCCGCAGGGACTCCATGAACCGCGGGTTCCACCTGTCTAAGGAAAGAAGTATGGGCCCCTAATATGGACCCTTACGCCTTTCTAGGGACCCTTAAGGGTACATATAGGGTATATAGTAGGTATATAAGGATCCCAGAGTTAAGCGCCCATACTAGGGGCCCATGGTTTCAACCTTAGAACCTGACATGCGCTTAAGGTTTAGGAGGTTTAGGGTTTAGGGTTTAGGATTCAGGGTTCAGGGTTAAGGGTTTAGGGCTTAGCACTTAGGTTTATGGTTTAGGGCATAGGGCTTAGATTTTAAGAGGTTTAGGGGTTCCACCTGTTATGCGATTACCTTAACCTACCATAACCTACTTTTTTGTAGGGTCCCTCCATATCCCATATTAGGTTTTATAATAAGAGCCTGCAAAAAAGTGGGTTGTGGTAGGGCTTAGGAGTCTTAGGAGGTTGAGGGTTTAGGGCTTAGGGTTTGGAGTTTAGGGCTTAGGGTTTAGTGCTTAGAGTTTGAAAGCTTAGCGGCTTTAGGGTTCAAGAGATTTAAGGGGCTTAGGGGGTTTAGGGTTTAGGGCTTACAAGGTAATCCAACATGGAAACTACAATGGAGACTCTGTGGATGTAGCGGGTCCATGCCTCTTGGGGACTGCCTTCGCCGGTGAACCCTGGCGGGTATGTGTATGGAGGCTGCTGAGGCTTCAAAGGTGGCGCCGGCACTGGAGGATGCTGGATGCGCACCCTGAACCCTAAGCCCTAAGCCCTAAACCCTAAACCCCTAAACCCTGAACCCTTAACAATGCTTCTCCGAAGCCGGTCCCTTAGACAAGCAATGACAAGGCAACCGACCAGACAACCCGCCACCATCGCAAGTTGAAGCCAAAACGTTGGCCTAAGATATCCATAATATAAATATTATCCAACTGTTACTGAGTGGGGGCAGAACCCAACCTATACGCCTCAGATCAAGGAAGGCTGCAGCTGCTCTAGCACTCTTGGCAGCCTCCTCTGCAGCCTTCGAATTCTTGAGCCCCAGCCAGGGCTTAAGGTTTAGGGCTTGGGCATTGCGGTTTCGGGTTTAGGGTTTTGGGGTTCAGGGTTTAGGGCTTCGGAAATTTGGGTTTGGGTTTTACCAGGACTCTTAAGCAAGCTACGTCTGTTCCTGATGAAATATGGTTTCCGTACATATGTCCACGAAACAAGTGTTATAGTGTACAGGTAGGGGTCCAGGTAGGGCTTGGGGTTTCGTGTCTGGGCTCTAAGGGAGGTAGCCCAAACCCCATACCAAAAGACCCGACTTAGGTTTGGGAGTTGGGTTTGGGTGGTAGGGTGTGGGTAGTGGTCCTGAGCCCCTCTACGAGGTAAGGGCTTAGGGCTTAGGTTTGAGTCATGTCCTTCGGACTTAGGATATCAGTACCTTAATTGCAGTTATACATACGTAATCAGAAGTGTAGTTACCTTACCTATACCCAGGTCACTAAGTCCCATGATCCCACCCTTATAGAAACCTTATAAATCCTCTTAAGGAGCCCTTTAAGGAGCCCTTGAAACAGCCCTTTAAGGAACCTACTACGTCCCATGATCTTTTAAGCTAAAGACCTCCTATGGAACCCTTCTAGAACCCCTAAGCGAAGACCCTTTCTAAGGCGCCCTTTAAGTTACTGAGTCCCATGATCCTCAACCCTAAACCCTAAACACCTAGACCCTAAACCCCTAAACCCTAAACCCCTAAACCCTAAACCCCTCAACCCTAAACCCCTAAATCCAAAACCCCTAAACCCCAAACCTTTAAGTGAAACCCGAGACAACCCGAAACTCGCGGAGCCCGCGGTCTGGCGCTGTAGAGATGCGGTACCGTCTCGTCCTGCAGCGAAATTTAGGGTTCAGGTCAGGGTTTAGGGTTTGGGGTTTAGGGTTTACGGTTTCGGGTTTGGGATTTAGGGTTTAGGGTTTGGGGTTTAGGGGTTTAGGGTTTCCTATTCCGTCTGCAAGAACCCGGCATAGGGTTTGTGGGCAGAAATTAAGCGATTGCTGTCTATGTGCCTTCCGGTCTTGGCAGTGGCATTCTACCCTTTAGTGTCTGTATTGGGGGTCGCTTTGTTCCAATGTCAGCCCTCGCGGTGACGGCACGAGTGCTTACATGGTGTATACATTAAGCCCAAACGGTTTGGAGGGGCTGGGTACCTTTGGGGCCGAGGGCATACTGGTTGAGTGCTCAAAATTTGGTCAAGAGGCAAGGCAACAAAAACAGGCACCAACTGCACACTGCTCTCCGCCTAAAGACACACAGCCCCCAGGAAGAGGGAACTTTCCATGAACTTTTTGACGGAAACCCTACGCCCCGAAACCCTCAGCCACTACATCCCTTAAGCGTCATCACACCCTCAAGCCTAAAGACCGACCCCCAGATCCATGTAAGTGCTCTGAGACAGAAGAGGCCTGGAACCGAAAAGGCTGATGAGATGGGCCTGAATAGTTAGAATAGGGTGTAGGGTTTAGGGTTTAGGGTTTAGGGTTTAGGGTTTAGGGTTTAGGGTTTAGGGTTTAGGGTTTAGGGTATATTGTGACTATGACTGTGATAACTATTTACAAATATAGTACAAGAGGGTCCATGTACACTAACATTATGGAACTAGATCCCAAAAGTCCATCCCGATTATGGTTTGGGGGACCCAATAGTAGTATATATGGACCCTCTTGGATAAAGTATAACTCCAAAAAGGAACCCTAAGAACGCTGGTCTAAGAGTGGTAGTTTTCCGGAGAGCCTGTGCCCAGATCCGCTCGTGGAGCGCCAAGGAAAGAACATCCTGGCATGACCCACGGATGCTTTCCACAAGCCCCGGGACACTCCGAATCCTGTGACTTCTCGGACGAAGGCTCAAGAACGCATTGGAGGGCTTTTTGGCAAACAAGGCGCTGCACTTTTGGAGTCGGGCTACACTAGAGCCCGAGATGCCCCCCCCCCTCCCAAATCGTAGCCTCGACGCTTATCCGCACGGGTTCCGGTCCCGACAACCATGTAAAACTTGAAGCCTCGATCCCGTGAATAGTATTTGGGAGTTTCCGAAAATTAGGGGTACCGTATTTTGGGAGTCCTTATAATAAAGATCCTATTATTGAGGGTACTATATTAGGGTCCCTTATTTTCGGAAACCCCCATCTTGATTCAGGGGGTGGATATTATTCCCGGACGCTCCCAGCCTCAAATAGGTCTCTATTGTAGTTCCTTTAGTTTTTTGGGGTTACCTTATGTACCGAACAAGTTAAGCCAGAAAAAGGAACTACAAAGCAGACTATAGGCACACCCCAAACCCTAAACCCTACAAGCCCTAAAAAACCAAACTCGAGATCCCAAGCGCTGCTGGACCTCCAAGGCGGACCTTGAGTAAAGGATGGCTTCAGCCTCGGGTTGCAGTATATGATAATGCAATATAGTAGAGGATGGCATAATATGTTATAATATAGTAAAATATGATAGGATATAACAAAACAGAATGTGATGAAATATAAAATAAGGTGATACAGTGTTGAACAGACTTCAGGCATCAAGGTTTAGGGCTCAAGGATTCGGGTTTAGGGTGTTTTGAATGGACTTCAGGGATCAAGGTTTAGGGTTTCATGTGGGAGTAGGGTGGATAGAAACTTATCTGGCTATGAAATGTATGCCATGATTCACCGTTAGCCCTGAACCCCTAAACCCTGAAACGCTGACTTGTTGGGATACCCCTTCGGTAAACAAGCAGATGCCTGGTCAACTTGGCTTTGGGTTTCGCATATGCTTGGGCCTGCTGAGATAAGGAGCCATATATGCACCTACCAAAACCATGATTTTTTATCTACAAGTGAACCCTTGAACGTACGCAAGGACTACCATGGAATTTCAGCAAACAAGGAACACGGACCCCTGTTGCAGGACTCCTAGTTGTCAACACAACGCTCAGGAAGGCTGATCCCTTTCCTGTAGTCAGCCGGGAGCCAGGCACACCACATGTACCCCAGCTGCGTGACGCCTCAGCTGTCAGCTCTTGTGCTTAGGGTTTGGGGTGCAGGGCATGTAGAATTACTGACTACCTTAACCTACCAAAACCTACTTTTTGTAGGGTCCCTATAAATTCCATACTAGGGTTTATAACAAGCACCTACAAAAAAGTAGGGTTTGGTAGTTTAAGGTAGGGTTCAGGGTTCAGCATTTGGAGTTCGAGACTTAGGGGCGCAGAGCCCTGAGTTCGATTTCCGCGGCCAGCCGCCTGTCTGCTTCGATAGGGTTCAGGGTTTAGGGTTTAGGGTTTAGGGTTTAGGGTTCAGGGTTTAGGGTTTAGGGTTCAGGGTTCAGGGTTTAGGGTGCTTGTCCAGAAAGATCTTGCCCTTAGCGGAAAAAGCAGCATGAAGCGATGGGCTTCTTTGGCTGCCTGGCCGGAGAAATAACAGAAGAAATGAGCGCCTCGTCCACCGTATCGGCTGAGGCAGCACGTGGCTGCAAAACATCGCACTTTGAAGCACGAGGCTCCAAGACCTCCGCATGTGACGAGGACCAGTCACCTGGCGGCGGCAAAAGTAAAGGCTCTTCAAGCGGATCCGGGACCTGAGAACGCGAAGTTCTGGCCGAGGAAGAAGAAGTACTCCTCACCGGGCTCCTCGAAGCCCCGCGCGGGCACCCCTACTGAGCCTGATTATGGTGCTCAAAAGCAGGATGATTCTTGCCGCAAGCTTGGTTGTTGGCATTGGCAACACAGCAACGATGAAGAAACTTGCAATTCTTGCCGCGAGAGCACCCTTGCCTGCGGTTATAGTCCATACAAAGCAGCTTCTTCTCCCCCTTGTTGTCAAGTACGTGGTTGATCCAAGGAGTGCGTTCAGCGGCACCAGTTGTTGGAACCCCGGTGTTATTCTTGCCAGCATTGCTGAAACGACCTCCAGCACCCTTGCCTCTTCCTCGGCCGGTGCCCTTTTTACCACCCAAGCCTTGGCCGTGGTTGGCATAAAAGTCCTTAATCTTGACGGCTGCCGCCCGTGGCTGCAACCACGTAGAAACGCCAGCACGCACATCTACTACTTCATGGATAGCGTCATCCAAGCAGAAACCCTTAGCGCAAAGCTCATATATCGCAGACCAAAGCATACGATCGGCATGCTGCATCTCTTCAGCATTTGGGCCGCGCAGCCCGGAGTCGGGGCCAACTTTAGCAAAAGCAAAGCGCATGAAAGCCCGCTCATAACTCCGCAAAGTATGGAGGTGAGCTGCCTCGCAAAGCGCCAAAGCATTGGAAAGAAGGCTGAGGACCTGCTGACAGTGAAACATCCCCATCCCTCCCGAAGAAGGGATGTCCCGCGTCGGTACATCATCAAAAAGCAGGTCTGAAAGCTCCGTGCGTGCCCGCTTTGTCGGCTTGGCCAATTGCTGCTCTTCGTGCAACTTGACTGAAAGGCGGTACTTCCATGGTACAAAAGAAAAGTCTTTCGAGGAGCACTGCTGGCACACATGCGAAAGCAACCGAATAGAAGGCATGCACTCCTGGTCCAAAAGCTCGCTCGGGTACTGCTCAAGAAAGTTGTCCTTCATTTCCTTGACTTTGGCGGGAGACAGCTTAGGCGCAAAGGTCTCAGCCCAGGACCCGGGTGTAGAAGCTTCAGCAGCACCACCAGAGCTCCCTGCTGGTGGTACCGGTGGGAACTGCACCGGCTGTGGATGCAAAGCAGAGTGACAGCTCTCCAAGCAAAGCAATCTCAAAGCTGGAAGTGCTGAGGGATAGGCATCCAAAAGGTGAGAATCAAGCCACTTGGAAAGAGCATCTTCCATGCCTTCCACTTTGACCACCAAAGCAGAAAACAGACGCTGCGTGAGCCCGAGAATCGGCGACAGCTGCCATCCTGAACAACAGGAGCGGGACGACGCTAAAAAGAAGGCTGGAAGCAAGAGACGTCCCCACCTCGAAGCAGTTGAAATGGACCTGGGCGAAGCAGCAAGAAGCACAAAGAATAAGCATACCACATGTTTTGAAAGCAAAGCAGAGCGCGCTTGACTTTCCGAAGGAAGAAAGAAGCGCGGCGAAAGCATGCGCGATGGTCGTGCCGAAAAGCAAGCAATCACTGCAGATGCTTGACCTTGAAAAGCTGCCAGCAATAACGGCAACGGTGGGGCCAATGATTCTTGGCCTTATCGTAACTAGGAGAGCTCTTGCCGCAAAAAGCAGCGCCGCAGTCGCCACACCTAGCCCGGCACCTATAAATCATTTCGAAATCGGGCTCGGGATTGTCCGAAGCAGTGGCCGAGTCTGCGGGTCCATCCCCAGAGCCAGACGGGACCGGTGGCGGCTTCGCCTTTGGGACCGGGTCCGGAGAAGAAGCACCTGGTTTCGTGGCGTCCAAGCCCGTAAAGCCCTGCCAAGGATCACCAGCAGCATCAGAAGTAGATTCTTTAGGGCCTTAGGGGCTGCCCCAGAAGGAGCAGGCTGCCCGGAGGGATCGACCACAGGTCCGCCACCCGAAGAAGCAGGCATATGTGTGAGCGGAAGCCCCGTATTTCCAGCTGAAGCAGCGCCCCCATCTGCCTGGCTCAAAGCAGCGGCAGGCACTTCCTGAGGCCCAAAAGCAGGAGTCCCCGCTGCCTGTTGGTGTGTCCACAAAGCATCCCTCATCTCCGGAGGTTGCAAAGCTGTGGGCTGGAATTCCCGGAAAGTGAGCCAGTCACCCTGGGACCACCCGAGCCAGCCGTCATAAGTCGACAAAGGAACGCCCCAAACCAACATCTCTTCCTGCACCGAGGCCGTACCGGAAGCCTGCAAAGCAGGATCAGCCACACTCTCGCGAAGCTTCCGGCTGTCAAAGCCTACTTCGGCTCGCTCACCTTCGGCTATCACATCCCATGCATTCATCATCTGTCCTCCCCGGGCTTTTCGGGTGAACAAGGAGGTCGGGTGCGGCGACCTGAAACCATCTGTTGCAGTGGAGATAACAGGTGCTTTCCCAAAAGTCGAGGGAAGCCCCTGGGAAACAGGGCCATGAGAATCTGCTGCCTCAATTCTACGGTTATTTCTACGTGCTGCGACAGCATCATACACCAGACAACGTTCCCGAAGAGTCATCAGGATATTCGAGCAGTTCTGATTGATGACCTCGTGCTTCAGGTCCGCCAGGGAAAGACCCAAAGAGCCCAATACCCCTTAATTGAGGAATATACCTTACATGATATAAGGGGCTTCATATTATGATTTAAGCTATATCCCTACAAACCCTAAACCGGGGTATTGGCCGCTCTGGGGAACGAGCTTGCAAGCAGCCCTGTTGTGCCATCAAGTTCTCTAAACACCCAAATCCCTGAGCCATGCCTCGGCTTTTAAGGTTTAGCGGTTCGGGTTTAGGGGTTTAGGGGTTTAGGGGTTTAGGGTTTAGGGGTTCGGGTTTAAGGGTTTAGGGGTTTGGGGGGTTCAGGGGTT